AGAAGATACTGAAAAAATATCTTTTTACTGATTTTATCTAAAAATTGTTATGTGTCATATTGTAATGTTTTTATAAAATACACCAAAAAATAGGAGTGACAGGGAAAGTTTTGGGAGTGTTAGCAAAGGAAATGTAAGACTTGACTCTTCTGTGATTAAATTAAACTTTGGATTATGTATTCAGCTGAGGTTAACCTGCACATAATTACACTGTCTGTTGTAATGCTTGTAAAGATTTTTGAACAAAATAAAAAAACACAGAAAAAAATCTGTTATATAGTTTAAATATGTGTGCTGTTAAATTATTTTTTTAAAGTATTTCCTCCTGGTTAGAGTGTATCTGCATAATAGTTGCCTAAAATATATGGATTCATTTAGTTGTGAACAATGTAACATCTGTGAAACATGATTCTTAAAATAAATGCCGCATTCAATGGGTATAGAGCTAGTCAGGCCTGTACAGGATGTTACTCTACTCTCCTCCACCCACTTCTTTAAATAATGTAATTAAAAAATTGTGAAAGTCAAAAATTCATACTGGGACTATTGAAGTAAATGAGCAGTGACACTGAATGTCTGTGCTGAGAACTAGTGTTCACTGGGGCATAAAACATGCCATGAAAGTTGTTAATGTATTTTATGCCAACACCTTGAAAACTGCCTGGCTTTAATGTTCTGGGTTGGTCTAGACACTTGGCTAGGTACTCATTTAGTACTGCCCATGTGAAAATGGGAGCATACAGAATCAAACTACCTGTAGGTCTGTGGAGGGTGTGATTTTCATTATGACATTAATTCTGTGCTAGTCCCAGCATCCAGGAATCTAGTAGTCTGAATACTGTCTGGATGGCAGCCAGCTAAATAAAATGCTTCAGCTTGCTTTGATCTGGAGCAGGAAAGCTCCATCAGACTGTTATAATGGGAGGTGCTCTGTGCAGCCAATCTTACACCATCTGTTTCCTGTGTCAGTGCCCCTTCCAGACTGGTGGCAGTGAAGCACCTGGTCTCTTCATCTGGGTTAAAAACCTCTGTATAGAAGTAGATTCAAAGCTATTGGTCTTCTGTTCATACCACTCTGGCTTGTTGAAGCCTTGGTGGTTGGTACGCACTCCAGTTCAAAAGTGTGAAGAGAGAATAGTTCTGTATTCCTTTAAACCATTTGTATAGAATCATTTAGGTCAGAGAAGACCTTTAAAATCATCAGGTCCAACCATTAATGTGGCACTGCCAAGCCCACCACTAAACCATGCCCCTAAGTGCTACATTTGCACATCTTTTAAATACCTGCAGGAATGATGACTGAGCAACTTCGCTGCACAGCCTGTTTCAGCATTTGATAGTTCTTTCTGTGAAAAAATTCTTCTACTGTCCAATCTAAACCTGGAACATTTTGAGGTTATTTCCTCTTGTACTGACTCTTGTTGCCTGGAAGAAGGGATGGATCCCCACACAGCTGAAAAAACAAAAAAAATCAGTTAAAAAACCAGTCACCAATAAGACAAATTCTACATTTGCGTTAGGCAAGTTTAGGGAAGAGGGTTGGCAATGGTATTTCCACGTGCTGTGTTAGCTATACCAACTTTTTTCCCTTTGTTTATTAAAACTTAGAGTTGACTTTTATAGTTAGTTCATGTAGTTCAAGTGACTTTCCCTAGAAGCTGATCTATTTACTCATCTTGGGGAAGATTAGATATTTACTTAAATACACCTTTTCAAGTGGGTTTTAAGTAAGCTACTGTTCTACTTTGAGAAGTGCTGTACCGTTTAGTTTTTTGTAGGTCTTTCCCTCCTCTCTTCTCTTGAGGAAGCACACATTGCAATAGGACACTATAGTTTTTCTGCTTCCTGCGTCCTTTGTAACTGGTAAGGCAAGCAGCTATTTTTAACCAGAAGGAGTCACATATTTTGATTTATTTAGGCTAATCTTGTAAAACTTATTCTTTAGACAATTCACCAGTTCCATGAAAGGCACCTTAGTGCTCTTCTTGTAGTGAGAGTCCCAAAGCTGAACACAATATTCAACCTTTATGTCCAAGGTTAATGTTTTTTGTGAAAATGGGGTGTGAATAGATGGATGGGTATAATGAGGCTGTATATAACAAGTACTGTCAGGCTGATTACTTTCTTATCTGTTTTGAGGAATTGAAGAATACCCCTGTTGAATAGATCATTGATCTTTGCATTAAACCAAATAAGTTGATAATCTTTGTTTCTTAAGTATTTTTTCTTGTTTTGTTACATCTTTTTTTTGGAACTGCAGAATAGATGAAATTTTGTTACCATTTTAATTCAGAAGACCCTCATTAGTAACAGGATTCTGCTTGCATCATTGCCTTAGGGGTGAAGAATGGAAGCTTACCTTGTGTTAATAGTTAAATAGTTATAATTCTATATTAATTGGTTATGAATAACCTGCCTTTACTTCTGTGTTTGGGTTTTTTTATTGAAGGTTTGGTAGTTTTGAAGGAGTTGAGAATTAGTATTTTATTTGGGTTTTGGGTAACCCCAGCAGCAGACTAACACAGACAAGACTGTGAAGTTATGCTCATTTACTTACCTTTTGTATGCACAGAAATGTATTGATAATTCATTATTTTATCCCTGCTGTTTTCAGTGATAGACATGATTTTTTTCTGAACAGTCAACTAGTTATAAGTAGCTGCTAGTTTTTAGTGTCCTTAAGATATCTTTGTACTATTCTGATAGTCATAAAATTGGATTAGTTGTCCATTTCTTGGTGCTTTCATCCCAGTTTATGCAAAGTTGTGCCAATCTACCAAAACACCAGAATTACTAAATAGGCCTTAAGAATGGTCTGTGAATAAAGAAAAAGCCCTTCCATTGTATTGTTCTGTCCATGGAATAAATGTACCTAAGATTCCCCTTTAAATGTTATTAAAATTATTACATTTTCTTGAGTTGTCATTTTTTGTTGCCCTCTAGAATTTGTGTTCTAGTATAGTAGTAGTGTTTCACAATGAAACAGAGGTGTAAATTTATTAAAAAATAAATAGCCTTAAATAGTCTTTTAAATAGTAAGATACTAATAGCCTAAGCAACTAAAAGGAAATTGTCATGTACTGGTAGAATTGGCTCCTTTTTGCAATGGGTGGCTTGAGAAGAAAGATTTAGTAGCTTGATGGAAGATTAATTACAGCTTTGGGACTGCAGAGGGATTTCTGATTTTGCTCAGGGAAAGTAGGAAAAAGCTGGTATGTGGCAACTCTCTTTTAGGCCCTGGTCACATGGAAGTGGAGCTGAGGACGATGGTACATTCTTAGATGATTGAAAGAAATAGTGAGTTGAAATAGTGTGTGAGACTTCATAGGGACTTAAGGCATGAATCCAAGAGTATCCAGGTTTCTGTAGTTTCAGGTTATGTTATGTGTGTCTAAGACTGAAAGTTAATAAAATGCTAGTCTTACAGACTGAAAGCCCAATGGTTGTGTTCTCAGTGAGAACTCAAATGCTACAAAATACTGTGTGCTGCTGGCAGAGTAGAAGAGCATAGGCAGTGACTTTGTGACAGGAACAATTGTCTGTGTGAAATTGTTTAGGTAACAAAACAGTTTGCCTTGTGCTGAAGTTTCCTCCTTGTGAGGATTTTCACATGTGTTTTATATCCTCTCTCCCAGACCTCTCTTCTCTGATAAACCTTAATAAGGGAAAGCTCTTCCTGTCTTTTCATGGAATCTGTTACTTTAATGCCAAATGTATAAATAAAGCCGCTACGAGCATCTCTGCATTCTACTCTGCAGCCTCTAACTTTCTTTAGTGCTTTAAAGGTGGAGCTACAGAGATGTTCTAAAACAAACTTTCCATTACAGAGAAAGACATTTTTCATACCCATTCTGGTAACTGAAACAGTTTACTATACTGAGAGATTTCACGTATGGCTTAGCATCCAACTTCAGTGAACAGGTAGAAGACAGGATGTATTTACACCACAGTTTTACTGATCTTTAAGTTTAAATAAACTTGGACTGTGAATATATGCTTTTGAGATGATAATATAAAGGGCAAGAGACTTTGAATTATGTAAGAGGGAAATTAATTTCAGATAATCTTGTCTTTGTAAATACATTAAGTACTCCACATGTGTGTATGAGATTAGTTTTTATTAAACACTAAATATTTTTTATTAGACATGGTGAAAGGTTTCCAGCACCATGTGAAGTCTGCTCAGGCAAATGCCAAAAATAGATGCAAAATGAGCATATACAAAAAAAAAAAAAATCATACATTGTAGCTAGTTTGTACAAACAAGTGAATTTTCTGCTTCTTAAGAACTAAAAGACAAATCAGACAGACTTTGATGTTGTATTTTCTTATATGAATTAAAGTAGTTTTATATTAACATCTAAGTATTTTTTAAAGATTATATTGCTTAGGTAATTCCCGTTGTAAAAGTAAAATCAATGAAAGGTTCATACATTTGAAGTTTTGTGATTGAACTTTCTAGGAAGTTTTGTTTCATATGGGTTACTCTCTGTCTGAGGCCGCACTGATGTAGTGAGACTGTGTGTATCCAAAGAACAGACTGACAAAAAACCACAGAACAAAAACACCAAAAATGTGGAAAGTTGAAAATGCAACTTCTCTTTTTGTCTCCTTGTCTGTCACTCAGTTTTTCCCTGCTCTGTTACCCAAAAGTGGGAAGTGTCTGAAGTAGCGTACCTGATCACTGCATTATAAATTGTTGTGCTATGTTGCTTTTTCTGTTGTCTTTGTGTTCATATTCATTACCTTCCAGAAATCTTTGGAAATTGAAAAAATAAGTCTGAGTGCTGCTCAGTTAAGGCTATCAGAGATGTTGTGCTCATACTAACTGGCTGAATTGAAGATGCGTTTTGGGGACTAAGATTGTTTTGTTTGTCTGGTGATTTTGTGGGAAGGGGAAGATGATACAAGAGGATAGCCTAAAAAAAGTTTTTTAAATTGCTTTCACTTTTATCAGGAATTTTGCAATACTTTCATTAAAACTCGTACTTTTTCTGCAGCTTCTGGAAAAACATAAGAATACAGAAAGTATGGTAGAGCTCCTTGAACTGTACCAAATGGAAGATGAAGCCTACAGTAATCTTGCAGAAGCAACCATGGAGCTCTACCAGTACTTACTGCAACCATTCCGAGATATGAGGGAGCTTGCGATGCTTAGAAGACAGCAGATAAAGGTACAGTAAAGGCAACTCAGATACTTATTATTTGGGAAGTTCTACTTTTTAGTTCCTGTTTACTAGTTCTGTTATGCAGTATATGAGGTGACACTTTTCCACTAGATGCTGACCCTGTTTTTCTGCGCTCTTCACTAAGATGAGTGCTTTTGATGAGTGAGAACATCTGACATATGTAGCTAAACACCACCTGTTTATCGTACTGTCTTACCCTTCAAATGCATGGCTGAATTAAGTAGGTCAAACTTAAAATTTTGTGGTTGGGAATATTGAGTAATATGTAAAATACAAAGAGATGTGCAGTATTTATACTGTGGTTAATTCTAGAAGATTATCTCAGGAAACTAAAATGAGACGTAATTTTCTGTGTAATCTGGTGAACTGTGAACACATGGAACCATGTTAAAACACATGATTTGTCGTAACACTTGGACAGTGTATTTTCCTAAGAGTTAAAAAAGCCATCTGAAGAATACTGTATTTTGGTAAATTTGTTCCAGAATGAGTATGTTTGTTATTTTTGAAAGTAATTCTAATCTTGAATGCTTAGCCAGAACTAACAAATGTTATCTTTATTGCATCTTGGATGTACTTTCGATAAAACTATTAGTTCCTGTGCAGATTATTAACAGCCTTCTGATTCTAAGCTAAAATTTTGTTTCATTTAATCTGTATTGTAAATGTCATTTTATCTCAGCTTGATACCTTGTTCAGTTAGCCAGCAGTTTTTTTACTGTTTTCAGCTTAAAAGTAGTGTCTCTCTCTGGTTTTGAGAAAGAATGAGGGAGGGAGGCAAAAGGATTTATGATGTACTAGCTTTATTTTGACATATTGCTATGTGCCTAAAGTAATTTTTCAGAAAAATCAGCAATCTTAAATGAACTCAGTTTTATAATGTGATGATGTTTTAACTAAAAGTGCTTTTTGTTCTCTTGAATGATGCTGCTGCACAGAGAATTGGCATGAATATTTTTTTCAGACAGTATTATACAGTTGAAGCCTATAAACACTTCATTTATTAAAATGCTTTCTTCAAAACATGGTGAAATAATTCCCATTTTATTGGAATTTGTAGTAGAGAAAAAGATTATTTGTTCTTTTGTCAAATAAGAGAAGTAAATATTACAATGAGTAGAAATACATATTAAGAGTTACGTTGTGTTTTGCTCTGTTTTGATTTTTTAAACCTCAGTAATCTCTTGAATTCCAGTTTGAAAATGCATCATTTAATATTCTTCCTGAAAGATTAATGGTGATAAACTTCAGAGGTGTGTTCTGTGGTTGATTATTTTAGTAATACATAATTTCTTCTAATGTACATTGTGTTCTCTTCCTAACTTGGCAATTTGTGAGTTAAAAAACTTGGTCATCTGTATAATGCAGTAGAGAAAGATGCCATCTCTTGTTTTTCCTTTCATCGTTTGAGAGAAAGCAGTACTTGTATCTATGATGACAAAACATACATTACACTGGGTAGCTAGGGTTGGAGAAATGTTTTATAAATAGAACTTGTGCATGAAATGGTTTGTATTAACTTGCTGATTATGTTTTTCTGGCAGGCTTTAATGTTTCAGACCTTTTCTGTATTAGGTATCTGTTTCTGATTTGTGCAGAAGTTGTTTTGGTTTGGTTTGGTTTTTTGGGTTTTTTTTAAGAATTTGGGAGATTTAAAGTTTTCTAGTCAGCTTAATTTTGTCCTATTTCACAGTGAATTTAGAAGGAAGTTAATTACATCACCTGTAATCTTTGGGAAGAGTGTTTTCTGATTTTGGAGCCGGACATAAAAATTGGATCATATGTCATCTGGTGTTAAATTTCTGCTGTTCCCGTGAAATTTTAAGGAAGAGACAAGCCTATAGGAGGCAAGGGAAAAACAAAAACAAATTTCTGTCTTCAGTGGACGCTTACTACAGAGGGACATCTGTATTGTACCCAGATTCCTTCTTTGGGAAAAAAACCCACCAAACCACAAACCAAACAACCCATAATGAAAGCTCATAACAAGATTAAAAACCATGTGGAGGCTTGGAAATGTAGATTACTGCTGCCCATTATAGACATGATAGAATCTTGCTTCATTTTATATTTTGATCATACACTAAGTTTTCAGGTGTATTTTGGTTCATTTAGTGTAAAGGATGGAACATTTAGGTGTATGAAGAGTCACAGCTGTGAAGTAGTTAAATATTTCTGGATTTGAAAAGCAGGATGAAAAAGTTGTAAGATCATGAAAGGAAAAAAAGCTGGGTTATTATGAAATTAAATGTCACTGTGGAAAAGTAACTTCTAATTGCATTTCTGCTTAATTACGGGCTAGTCATCTGACCGTAGAACAATGTGTTCAGTAAGTGATATGCTTGTCTTTTTTTGGGCTTCCAGCATCAGAAACCTGGGTTTGTTTATATAAATGCTCTTTATGTGTAAATGCTGCTCAAATCCATGGGGACTTCCCTCCAAGCATGTCAAGATGCTTACCAGATACCATGCATTCTTGAAAGAGCTGAGCATTGCAAGCACAGCTGTGTTTTGGACTTAAATCTTCATCTGTATGATATGGGAACAACCCTGCTCACCGCAAGGCCTTTATGAGGGACACAGAAATAAAAGCCAACTTGTAATGAATGGTATTATCAGATTGACAAATGCCTATCAAAGAAGCAAGTCTGAACTCATTTCGGGATTAAAATATAAGATACACTTGCTAGACATACTCAGTGTGTTTACTGTGACTGTATTTTGTAAGGCAGAAGTGAAAAGTTGTATTGATAGCCCAGCCAAACAGTCCATATGTTCACTGAATGCTGGAGAAGGCATAATAAAGGAATTGAAGACAGTATTATATTTTTTATATACGTAAAAGCTGAGCTGAATTTGTATAGGCATTTCCTGATTTAATTATGGACTGTTAATGGTTTAGTTGTAATAATATGTAAAGACATTCAAGCAGTGAATTTTAGCGTGTTAATTTCACTATATGCGTTACTGGACCTTTTCTTCTGATTTCACCTTTTCTTTCTGATTTCATTGTGTATTATATAGGCACCAGGAAATGAAGCTTGATACTCAAATGCTGTGTTACATGTTTTGGACTGTCTGTATATTCTTCCAAGAACTGGGAAGAAAACTGTGAACATAAAACCACAGGACAAACAATGTTCATGGATTAATCTAGCATTAACGTTGGAATTTAAGATACTCTTTTTGCTAAGAATCAGACTACTTGGCAACCAAGAAAGGGTGTTAAATTTTTGATTCTGAAAATGTTGCACATTTATGCCCACAAATTTTTCCTCAATCAAAATAAATAGTTTCCTTGTGAAAATTTGCTTATTTTTTGTGTGTGCAGAACACACATTGCCTTAGCAGAAAAGTTGGAGGTAGTAGTCATCAATAGCTGGAAATAAAAATGCTAAGTCTTTCTGAAATGTGGAAAAATCAGAGTAGTACCTCTGTTCTGGTGCCTTTGATTTTAGAAAGTTAAATCTAAACTTTGTGAGATCCTCCATATATAGTGCTGTGTTCTTCAGAAAGTACGTAGGGGAGCGGCGAGTTAGTGGTTGATATTTGGCTGTAGAGCTACTGGCCAAGTTACTGTGATCAAGCTTTAAGTCCTGTGAGACTGAGACACGAAGGTTTCTTTGATACAGGGTACCAAATCTGGTTAATTAAAAAAGACAAAAAATAATTATTTAAAAAATTGCTTCATGGGCTAAACCCTGAAGCCTTTTTTGTCTGTATGGCTGTGTTCACCAATCTTCATAAAGTCAAAGAAACTACCTTGCTACGTAGAATTTTTACAGCCTTGTAGTTGTGGACAGTACTTCAGTCATGATGAATAGGCACCAGGTTTGTTCAAACGCCAAGTGAAATCAGTGGGAGGCCTTCTCTTTTCATGCTTGAGAGGATTTTTGGATGTCCTTGATATTGGACTAAAGATAAAATGTAACAAATTGCTTCACAACCTACATCTAGATGCCAGCAAAACTTCAAAACATGCATTCTTGAAGGTCTGAGTTGAGCTGGTTTTGCTTAACTGGAAACTAATAATATCTCATTGCGGGTGAAATCTTAGAGCCGTCATTACATCTCCAGGAAATGAAAACATTGAAAACTTATTGTATGTTAAATATATTAAACATACTCATAGCTTCATTGTTTACGTGTTAATTATTTTTACTTGCATGTTAGTTCATATGAATGTGAGGTAATTTTAATGACTTCAGATACATTAATATTGAGGTCTAGCACTGGAAGCTACAGATTAGAGCAGCATATATGTTGATGATTCATAACATCCTGCTTTTAAAAATTTTGGAATCTTATATTAGTCTGTCAGAAAGTTTGCTTCCCTCTCAAGCTCTCTTATACATATTCTGGTATATTAAAAATACAATTCTAGCTCAATTATGTGTGAATTCCTTTGTCTAATATATGGTGGTGAATTGCAGTAGTGAACTTTATAACTAATTTAACTTTGATTTATGTAAAATTAAGTACTTAGAAACAAATTACATTGTATTGAACATGTAAAATTTTGGTTAAAAATAGTTTAACGAAACAAGTTCAAGGGAGACAAAATTCCACTATGAGAACAGCTGGCAAAACCGAGAGAATTACTTTTAAAAGTACTTACAGAATATCTTTTTTTGAAAAGTCTCTAGTCACATAAAGATGTTTTGGAGAAACTGTGAAACATCAAAGGATTTTAAACTTTTTTTTTAATCTATATACAGCTGAAGGTGTGTCCTCACATCATTTATAATAAACATAGCTTTTGAAAAACCTGTAGACTGGAGAAGAAATCTGAGTTTATGCAAAATGGTCATAAGCTTCAGGGAAATTATTGCTTGCTTGTTTGAGAATATGATGCAATATGGTGAATTATTCTAATTGTCTTTATACTTTGATTCAAAAGGACTGTATGTCAGTCTCTGTTTACAGTCTGGACTATAAATCCTCTAGACTATTATATGAACTCAGAACAGAACTTTTGCTGACTT